CCTTCTAGCAACCTTGTTGCCACTCTCATTTTCATGTTTGGCGGTAGCTGCATGTCGAGGGCCGCCTCATTGAACCTCTTGATCCACTCAACCGCTATGGAGATGTCCCCCGTCCCATCGAACAGTTTGCATCCTAAATCCCATGCCTCCTTGAGGTACTTTGAGATCCTTATTATTGGAACCTCGACGTCTCTATCTCTTCAGGACTCTACATGGTCCCTAGGACTCGCACGACTTCCCCTTCTTGAAGCCCCTCCCAAAGCGCCTTTGGCGATCTTCTTGATATTGACGGAGTAGTTCCTCCATCCTTTCTAGAGCGTCACCATCATTGCTCCCTTCACTAGCATCATCGTATTCCCCATCACATGGGGTCTCAACCGGCTCAGTTCCCGGTTGATAAGTCGAATCCTCTTCGGACACATAGGACTCATTTATGGTCTCAACGTGGCCGTCACTCACGGTCTGTGATTGGCCTCCACGGCCTCGTCCCCTGGACACGCTAGAAGCCCCTCTACTGCCGTGCTCGGACCCTCCTAGTGCCCGGCCAGTCGGGTTCCTCCTAGTCACTTTCCTGGTACGTTCCATTTCTGAAAGAAATCGAGAATGAGTCATTAGACTCGTATCAAGTGTCAATTGACGGATAGGTACTTAAAGACATCCTTTGACTCAAATCACCGTCATACCAATTGCTAAGGGTACCATCTTAACAATTAGAGACATTGCAACTCAAGTACCAAAAGTTCTATAAGTACAAAACATTTATGCTCATGGTTTTCAAAATCATTTGAAAAAGAGAATTTTGAGACTTCAGTATGAAGTTTATGAACCTCGCTCTGATACTAATTAAATTTTCACGCCCCGGACCCACCCGGACACGTCAACAATCCGCCGTACAGTACGAATAGTCAACCACAGTTCAACACATTCATACTATACAAGGCGTCTGGAATATCATTCACACATAGTACATCCATAAACAAACATAATGTAAAACATTCATTAAAGCATCAGAAACATTAATACAAATGTTTAAGCCACACTTGACAAACTTAGGCATACAAGCCCTCAAATAATTATTCAAAAATAATATTCATGAGCATCATTCATATTGTTTTCAAAACAGAAACGGAAGAAGCACGAACCAAGTCTTCTTCCTTTGATCTCCCCGAAGCAACGGGCGGTGGTAGCAACCTTCAAGTTCTACCTAAAACTGTGAGGTGGCCTCCCCGTGAAGGGGAAGTCAGTACTTTGAAGCATTTGAAAAGTACAATGACAACTACACTGTAATAATCAATGTTTCAATTTCAAAGACCCTCAATCTAGGGTGATATTATGTTATAGGTCATAACCCTTGGTTACCCCGTTCAAAAATATACTCACTTTATATATAAATTCAAGTAGTCGGCCCGTGGGCCCATGTTCATTTTAAAACGCCCATCGATATCCCATATGACTACTAGTCACAATTTTCATATATTTATCATAAATTGCTACGCCGTTCTAGGGCTTACCCTAACGCGTTACTTCACTATTTCGGAACCCCGTTCATTTATTATAATTTCACCGTGCTAGAGCGTCGCTCGTAGTCACGTTTCATAGTGCTAGAGCCTCGCTCATAGTCACTCTACATCGTGTTAGAGCCTCGCTCATAGTCACCGCTACACCGTGCTAGAGCCTGGCTCTTAGTCACGTTATCAAGTCTTTAAGCAATTTCTATGCCTAGACTCCATTCACTTTGGTAGCCTTTAAGGTCTACCCCTAACATATCTTAGAACTCACACAAATCGACCTTAAAGTATCTCTTAAGACTACTTAAGGTATCACTATTCACAATCCAATCTCTTAGGATTAATTACCTCATTTTTCATATTAATCTAACGACTAGTATTTTAATACTAGTCAGATAACTTTAGAACAACCAAGTTCTTAATCCATAGTTCAATGATTCATTTCAAATGATTTTCCAATCCAATTATAATTTAATCTCAATATAAAAAATATCACTTGTATCCATTCATGAATTCTTTATATGAAGTAAAAGTATATTTTATCACAATATTTGATAGTTAATTCTTACTATCATGCCATCATTTTCATAACACATAATCATACACAATTTCTCCTAAATTTGTATATCATGCTTCACATACTCATATACAATAGTATTTTCATTTAGGCATTATTAACCATTCATAATCCATGAAAAATCACATTTAATCACCATAGGTAATCCTATGAAATTAACTCACTAATTATAAGCAATATAGTCAGTCATCATCACCTCGAATGAGCTTTAAGAAGTTCTACCCTTCTCGGTTGAACTCCGGCGAAACTCCGGCGAACTCCGGTGATACTCCGGCGATACTCCGACGATACTCCGGAAAAAGTTAGAAACACCTTAGTCAAAATCCTAACAAGGTTTTATCATCACAAAACTCATATTAACACAAATAACCTCTAAAAGGTTATTTTCCGCCGAACCGGTCATTTTGGCTTCTAAGCCCATTCGTGGACTTAGAACCACATTCCAACCCCTCATTCTACACTTCTAAATGTGTAGAACAGTTCTAGGGGTCCTCCATATGATACATAAGTCATATGATAGATAAAAAGTAGAGGAAAAGTTATTATAAGGTTATTACCTTAATTCTTCACACTTTTCCTAACTTTTCCTTATTTAATCTTCCTCCTTGGATCTCTAAAGCTTGAGCTCGAATTTTTCAACTATGGAGGATGGTTTGAGAGCTTATTCTCTCCTTCTTGCTAGCCTTGGTCGAGCTGTAGGGGTGGATGTGTGAAGAGATGGCCCTTTTTGGGTTTTCTCTCAAATAATGTGGGGAAAAGGCCCCTAGGAGACTTTTCTTGTCCTTCCCTTCACTCATGGCAGGTCATCCCAATTTGTCCCGAAGTGTACATTCGGCCCCTAAAGTTGTATTTCTCAGATTGTTTTAATTATATTTTATTTTATCGGGCCAAATAAAATATATCACACTTTCCTAATCATTATAGGCCTTTAGAATAGATGTACATTCCCCAACTTTAATTTAAAAGTCTCCGACATTCATTTTGGGCTGTTACATGATAAATTACCAATACCGGTAATTGGTCCTCGTTTGACCAACGGGTCAACTCTATGCCTTTTCAATGGCCCAACTAAAATATTCACCACCATATACACATTATCTAGACCAAGATAAACAAAATACTTGGTTCTGGAATAATCGGATGGTCCCCGTTCCCGGTGTGGACCCCACATGCAATTTACTATTCACGTAAAAGAAATAATAAAATTTTACAACTTCGCAAATTCATAATTCATTTTTCAAGGTTTATTACACAATTTACTAAAAAGTAAATATGCTTGGGGACAGTGTTATATAGCCGTTAGGGAATCTTCCATTAGTTTAACGACTATTTGAAGTACCTTCGAACTCTTCTAAGTGTGAGCAAGTCTGATGAGGTTCTCTGATAGCAACTCTGATGGCCGGCTCTGATGGCAACTCTGATGGCAACTCTGGTGCCCAGCTCTGGTAGCATCTCTGATGAGCACCTCTGGTAACAACTCTGATCAAGAGATGCAAGAGGATTTCTGACCAGTCGACTATGCTATTACTTACACAAAGAAAAACTCTAATACAAGATTTCTGAAGGGGGTACTCTAATATCCTAATTAACTTAGCATCATCAAAATCTAAATACAATTATTCCTTACAGATACGGACCCCAAACTTTCCCTTGGTGAACCGGGCTCACGTTTGCCAATTCGTCCTGTCATCCTCTCTGATGCTGGCCGACGGTGCGTGTCACCTAGCTTGTTGAAGGCTGAGGCTTTTCCACACACTGGGGTCGGTCCACCACGGGGAGGGGGGGCGGGATGGGAGTGGGATGAAGACGTGTCCTGCGGTTCCACCCCTTCGTCGTTGCCTATCTTTATGGCCAACGACTGGGGCTGGGGGAGGTGGTGTAGTGTTTTCCCCCGTCCTTGGTATCAGTGCATTGAGGATGGTAGGGTTCTGAGCCAAGCTGGCTATGATGGCCGATAGAGTGGCCTGGAGCTGAGGGTCAACAACTGGAGTGGTCTGTTGCCCTGATGCATGGTCACCCTTCTCCATACGCATCTTCTCAAGGCTGATGCGAGCGTCTTGAGCGTTGCCGTTAAGCTGATTGCGAAGGTCAACCGTGGAGTCGATAGTCTCCTGTAAGATTTCTTCGTCCCCTGCTTTTGTCGACCGCAGCATCGCTTGATTTCTCCCGGTTTTCCTGAGTGTCAGGCACGGTTTTGCCGACGAAGTTGCGGTTTGACCTTGTTGTTCCCATTGTCGGTTAGTTGTGCTTGGTAGCGACGAAGGATGCTAACTTGATTGTTCTAGCTCTCAATGAAAGCACCAAATGATAGAGTATTAACTCTTAGAGAGAAGGGAGAGATAGAGAGAGAAGTGCAATAAATTCTGCAATAAATGTATTTGTCAATTCCTTACAACTACCCCCAATAGGAGTATTTATAGGGAAAATATGGGCTAGAGGCTTGGGAGGCCCGTTTACAATGAGGCCACTATTGAGTCGAATACAAAGTATGTAAATTGACTAAGTTTGAAATCTAGCTATTCGAAGTCTCTGTGGCCGACAGAGGTATGGTCGACAGAGACATGGCCGACGGAGACTCGGTCGACGGGGCACCCTGGTTCTCTTGGCTTCTGGACAATATTCTGAGTTGATATCTATGTGGCCGATGGAGGGCCATCTGGCCGACGGAGGACCCATTGGATGACAGCTGTGCTTCCTCTTAGTCCTGCTGGATTCGTCCTTTGGAGCCAATACTGACGAGGCTGACTGTGATCAGATCCGGATTAATTGTTTAGGAGCTTTGGAGGGTAGTTCTTAGACTCCAGGATTATGGGAGCGTAAACCCCGACATCTGGATTATAAAAAAAAATGGAAAGACCCAAAAAGGAAACCGGGAATATGACTTATATCTATTTAGGAATATGCGTTATGTGAGGCTCAGCTCGGCTCGTGGCTGGTGTTGATTTCCTACAGTATTATTTTCGGACCCGAGAACAGGAAAGATGAGTCCAAGTGATATGTTGGATGACGTTTTTTTCTGTGGGTTGTGATGTTGTCTGGAAGAAGGGGATGGGGCTTTGAAAAGTAGAGGAAAGACGAAGGTTAGGAGTAGCGTGATAATAGGATGGAGAGGGGAGAATCCAGATTTTGAAAGGAGCAACCGTACATACATAATCTCCATTGCTGACGGCGGCGTTTCCTGATTGGTAGCGGGGATATTCCGGTCCCACTAATTAATTGCATTGCATTGCTTGACTCTTTCCTCCCTCCCTCACAGAACCGAGCGCTCCGGCGAAGGAACCAAACCCAGCTCAAACGCGCGCGCCTTCTCACTCACCTCCTCGCCATTAGTTCCGGAATAGCCCTGGGATGGAGCTGCCGGTGCTATTTCGAGCTCCGGCCCCCCCTCCCCCCCTTTCCGCCTCCTGTAATAATCATTTTCTGGCGTTTAATTTCACCAAGATGGGGAGGAAAACCGTGTTCTTAAGGAATAGAGCCACGGTGGAGAGGACTAGCGGCCGTGACGCCGTCGACGCTAGCTCAGCTGCGGAGATAGATACTTCTGCCGGAGCTGGAACAGTCTCCCGTGGACCAGCTATGGAGGTAATTACACTTGGTCAGAGCTTCCGGGAAGCTGAATTACCCGTTTGGGAAAAGATCGGTGCTGTCGTGCGACTCAGCTATGGAATAGGTGAGCTTCTTCGCGCTTCTTATTGTTTTGAGTTTTCTTCTATATATTCGTGGAGACTGTCTCGCACACTCACTGTGTCAACATGCTTAACTAATTCTTAACGCAAATTAATAATTGAATCCCCAAAACAATGACATTATTGAGCCATTCAATGAGTTTCTTCATAACTGTCAGTTCGCAGCTAGGTCTCTATGATTTATGTAATTGCTAATAACTGTGAGAATTGGATAAACACATGTAGTATTAGATTCATCAATAATGAACATTTTCCATGCAATAAATGATGGGCATGCGAACCCTTTTGGTTCTGGATGTTCAAGGGTGGGAAGTTAGCAGTTAGGGGAAGCTAGTGTGCGCACAACTGTTCTAGTTCCACTTCTTCATCCTATCCCTTTGTGCTTGTTTTGATACGACCGGACTTGAAGTTTGGCTCAAGATCTTTTCTTTTAGTACATCAAGTGACGTGCCACGTACATACTGCTTGCCCACTTCAGGGATATATGGTGGGATGGCTTTAGCTGGAAGATTTATATGTTCGATGACGGGAATCGATAGCACTGGAGGATTCACTCCAACATCAGATGCTATTGTGGAAGGACTGGAATATGCGGTTCCTCCCATCGCGGCTCTTCTTTTCATACTAGATGTACGCATCCATGTTTAGCTTTAAACTAAATTGGTTTGGTAATTAATCATTCAAATGGCTTACCAGCCTTAATATGCTTGGTTGTGTTATTTCTATTAAATAGGATGAGGTTGTGAGGTTATCGCCCCATGCCCGTGCCATTAGAGAGGTTGAAGATGAGGAGCTACGCAGCTTCTTCTGTGGCATGTCACCTTGGCAAGTAAGTCATCTCATTATTAACCAACACATTCTCATTTGACCAAATTTATACTCCTTACCTTCTGCGATTAAGTTCCTAGTTTGAATTCACATGTTAAAAATAACTTTTTTTGTTGACTTTCCAAGTACACTCCTCCTCAAAAGCAGGATAGAGAAAATAATAATTATTGATATACTTTTTAGAGGGATAAAAGAGTATTTTACCATTCAAATATTACTACAAAGAGAAGTGAGAACACACACACACAAACACATATACACACATACATACATACATATATGAGTGTCGTCCTTGTCAGAAGCTCCTGATAAGAACCGCCATGCGGAATCTGCCATTTGAGGTGGTTCCCGGTGTATTTTTTGTTGAATTTTTGTGAGAATGTTCTTCATTAAGTGTAGATTATGTCCACAAAATTTCAGTTTAAAATTTAGTCGCAAAGTCAGTTAAATAAATTATTGAAACAAACTGGGGTGAGATCACATACAAACCATGCTTAATTTACTAACCTACAAACTCAATAATATGCAAAACTTTGAACTTCAATATGCAGTACAGATAATGTAAAGATGCGCTCTTTAAACATCAATATACAATACAAATAATGTAAATGTGAAACTGCTATTTTATGGCTTGAATAATATGAAACACTTTGAACTTCAATGTGCAATACAAATAATGTAAAGATAATTTGAATGGGAGGACTAGTTTGTATGTGATCCCACCTCAACATCTTTACATTATTTTTACTGCATATTGAAGTTCAAAGTGATGCATATTATTGAGTTTGTAGGTTAGTATTTTAAGCATGGTTTGTATTTGATCTCTTATCAAATGAACTGTGCGTTTTATATACTACCTCAAACGGCAGATTCTGCACACAGCGGTTCCGGTTAGGAGCTTCTGATATGAACCGCCCTTATATACACACACACAATATATGTATATATATGGTTAAAATGAACACATTATCTAAGAAGAAAATGAGAATGATTCTGGAGTCGGATTTGAGTATTGTGTATTATGTGAAACAGAAATGCGCGCACCCATAATTTAGAAAATGTGCATTTGAACTGTGCATTATTTTATCCACAGATGTGCACATTTGAACTGAGCATTATTTTAATCATAAATGTGCATCTTCGTGAACTATAATATGCATCGTTTCAGATTGTTCTTATTTCTCACGAGAAGAAGTATTCTCACCGGAACCGGACCCTACATATATAATTTGATTCAAATGAGAATGCAATCTAAATAGAGAAATAAGAATGAATCTGGAGCGTTATATATGAGAATTGTGCATTATGTGAAATAGAAATGTGCATTATCATAAATCAAAATATGTGATGGCATCTCTGTAAATAAATTCAATTTTTTCCCATTTGAACTGTGCACAATTTTAACCATCAAAATGCACCTTTGTGCACCGTAATGTGCGCCGTTTAGAATCGTTCTTATTTCTCACTTGAAGAAGTGTTATCACCGGAACCGGGCCCTATATACGGAGTATATAAACTCATTAGGCAAACCATCAAAATCAGTAGGGTAAATGTTAGGGAAAGAGAAAGAGTACAGACAAAGAGAGGGGGGATGTAATATCAAAACCTCTCCAATAGAGGCATAACAACAACAACATCCAAGCCTTAATCCCAAAAGAATTTGGAGTCGGCTAACATGACTCCAATAGAGGCATACCTCTACAAAAATACATGAAGCATGTAAAATACTGATAAGAACCTGTGTTAATGATCTCGTTCAGAGACGAGAGTGTTTCTGTAATTCAGAGGGAAGATAATTGAATGGGAAGGAATCTATGATTTCTGAAGAATTGAAATCTTAAGTAGGAATCAAATTGATGTCCGACCTAGTCAAGACACACAAAATTAATTCTTCCAAAAGGTGTACTTTATTGATAATAACAATGACCCTTATATAGAGGCTGATACAAGAGTCCTAGAGGCAATTAATAATTAGGCAGTTGCCTAAAACTGAAATAGGAATACTAGAATAATTAGGCAGTTGCCTAAAAGGCTAACACTGAAATAGGAATAATAGTATCATTAGGAAGTTGCCTAAAACTGAAATAGGAATAATAGTAATAACTAATTCACAGTTTTCTTTCAGCCACTTTGTTTCCCGGTATATTTGGGCCCACTGTCCGGGTATGAATCTGCAACGTTCTGGGCTCGTTCTTGGCCCTGTCACCTGCTGCATTGTTTCCCCCAGAATGCATCCATAACAAATACATGCAAATGTATTAAATAGAGAAAGAGTACAAAAAAGAGAGGGGGATGTAATATCAAAACCTCTCCAATAGAGGCATACCTCTACAAAATACATGAAGCAAATAAAATACATGCAAATGATAATGAATGAGAAACATGCAAATGAAAAAACAACACAAACATGAACGCAATAAAAGAAATGCATTACTTGAAAATAGTATATGGAGTATGTCTTTTGTCCAGCTCTAGAGCTCCTTGTATCACTGGTGTAAGCTCCAAAGGCTGCAAAAAATACAGGCTAGCTGGTTAAATAGCGATTAGATGAGCAATTAGTGCAGCAACCAGATTAATGTCTTTAGGGATCCTAATTAAAAAACCTTCTGAAGCAGTCAATAACTCAAAGTTTATTAATCTGCCATCCCAGGGGAAAAATGGTCCTTAATTGCACAAACAAGCTTGTGGGAAGTAACCTAAATAAAGATTTTCTGAAAACCACATTCCCTGCACCCCATAATCGATTATATAAGCGCCGTTCTCCAATTTTGAGTTATAGTATACTGCGGCAAAGTGAATAGAACAGCCTGCAGTAAATCCCCTTCATGATTACGAATAATCACTCCTGCTGCAAACTGGCCTGGCAAAGTGTTTACCTCAATATTAAGCTTAACAAATGGATGTGTTGGTCTGATCCACCTTGAATAATACAGCGCGTATATGGGAGTATGCTTGTGGCAACAAGGCCACTATTCTTCATTCCTAAACACCAATTCATCATATGTGATAAAATCTTGTTTATCACCAAGCCCGCGTCTAGACGATCCTTCTCCCTCTACATGAAGTAAGCTTTCCAAATGGACCATCCAGTTACTCCCGGAAGAACCATCATATATTGACCATCCAGAGAGTTGTGATTGACTAAAAACCACAACTGAAAACATTCTTGTCTAAAGGTCATATTAGAACTCCAATTGACCTCCAAAGCTGACGAAGAATATTGCCATATCTTCTAAGAGAATGAACAAGAATGAAAAACATGATTTAAAGTAGGGAGAGCATTATAACAAAGGTAGCATATTGATGGAAGTTGAATCCGAAACCTACTAAGATTCTCTGGAATAGGTAGGTTGTGGTTAAAACAATTTCCATAAAGAGATGATGATTTTCCTCATTTGGGTAGGATGCCAATTGAAGTCATTAGACCCATCCTTGCCAACATCAGTGTTATCCAAACCAAACTCATGGACTGATCCTAACCTTCTCCAAATGGGGGAATCTGTAGGTTTAAGCAACATGTCATCTCCCCTGTGTATATACATATATATATATACACACATATATATAACTGCCAGTGTTAAAGCTATAAAATCAGTAAAAGAAATTACGAAGCTGATAAATTTTTTGTAGTTCATTCTGATTATTGCTGCAAGTTCTGTCGGGGAGGAGCTATTTTACCGAGCTGCTGTCCAGGTCAGTCTATCTATTTATAGTCTATAACTACTTTAGTTTCCATTCTATAAGGTCAACATTTACATGATATTTTACCAATGTTAAAATGAATTTACAGTAATGGATCAATATTCATGTCTGTCTTAGCAAAAGATAGGCATGTTTTGGTCTTTCACTAAACAAAATTATATTTGCCTCCCAACAACCAATAAGTGGTGAGGTCCTCTTTACATGATTTTTCAGGGAGCTTTGGCTAACCTGTTCCTGAGGAGCACGGATTTGTTAACGGATCCTCGTGGATTGACATCATTGGTACAGTTGCTACTCTCTTCTTCAAACTCGTTTAAATTTTTTTGTAATTAAGTAAGAAAGAAAACTCACCCTTTGCATAACAACTGTAGACGGGTGTTTTGCCACCGTTTGTTCCGTTTGCTCAAGCATTTGCTGCCGTTTTGACAGCTGCTCTTACCGGCTATCTCTATTACATTACGTCCTCTCCAAAAGGCACGTCTTAAGTGTATACTAGCTTTATACACTCATATATTGTTGCTACAAGCAGTTTTGGTCTGAATATGATTCCTGACTTTTATATTCCCACTTCAGATCCCATTTATGTCATTGCACCAGTATTGAAGTCCAGTCGTGAAGATCTGAAAAAGCTATTTGCAGGTACACAGTTTCATGAAGTTGGTACAGTTTTATCACCTCCTGCTTTCTTTTCAATTGCTTAAATTGAAGCCAAGTTTATGTTTTTACTTTCCCAGTCCTATTTAAAAGTGTCTCATAATTGTCGGTTAAATATCAAATTTGAAGCCAATATATAATATTTTGGGTTCCTCTGGTTCACTGTTCAAGATCAAACCTAATTTCCTTACTGTGGCTTAATTTTCCCCACACCATCTTAATTTTACGTAGCAAACCAACAAATTCATCTTTTAGGGTGAATCTTCAAGTTGTCAAACTAGTTACAGTCAAATGTCCTCATTTTCTTTCATCATATTTGATCTTGCATCATACTTCCTCTGTTCTTAAATAAATGCAACACTTTCCATTTTGAGTCAAAAGTAACATGGAAACTGACTTTAATACCCTTAGTAACTTACTCACTCCCATCTCTCTTACTCCGTATTTAGTGACCCAGATACACATTATCAATTTGCAGAACACTTATACTCATTACATATGTATCTCCTTCACCTTCCTCAACTTACGAGGCTAGCTCCCTCCATCATGTTTCTTCTTCCATTTATTACCACAATCTCTTCTCTCTTTTCCCTCATCATCTTCTTAATTTCTACATCAATATTCTATTTTTTGATTGGCAATTGCAATCAAAAAATAATAGTAACATAGTATAATTAACGTAATATTGTGTAGTCATACATATTTTGATTGGCAATTGCAACTTCATTGAAATTAAGCTCAGTGTGCATATTTTAATACTTACAAATTTATTTATTTATTTACATCGAAATGTTTGATTTTTTAAATCATAATTACTGGTAAAAAATATTGTCAAATAATTGATGTGTAATAATAAAAGTAAGGATTTATAAATTTAATTAAAAAAAACTGTGTCGGATGAATATATTGATGGTGTTGGGTTTTAGGAAAAAATAGTTTGACTGAGTGAATATGTATAAATTGATGGGGAATTTGATTTATTGACGGAACAGAGTTGAGGTTAGTCTTATATCTGAACGGAGGAAATATGTTGCAACACACATTATTCGACTGTTTTGGTGTCGGTGGATTTTTAGTCAATGTTGACAAGGAATAAACCATAGTGCCTCTGTCACGCTCAACTTTTCCATGTGGACCGGCATGTGAAATGAGAAAGTAGAAAGGGAAAGTTCCCAAAACAAGACTAATTGATTTTGAAATTTCAAAATAGGACTGCTATGTTTTTCTTTTCAAAATAGGAGTAATATGACATTATTGCCATCTTATAGTGTCATTGTTGCCAAATAGTTGCAGTACTAGGTATTAAACATAGCATGTATTTACTATCATTAATGACAGTAATTTTCAATTATGGCAGTAACGACTCCTATTTCGGGAATAAAAACATAGCAGTCCTATTTTTGAATTCAATAACCTATTTACTCTATGATTGAAGTTTTCTGCAGAAGAGAGAAATAATAAGAAAACAAAATAATTACTTTAAGGTAGTGTCAAATTGAGTAAAAAGTGTGTCAAAGCTTTTGGGACAACATCCAACGGAAAGAAGAGAGTATTGTATAAATATGGATACAAATCAACTTATAATGAGAGTTTGTCAGATTGCTCGGACCATGTCATGTCCGAGATCGATGGGGAAGAATGTTATTGTTCTTTGTTACTAATATACTTCTTATCTAAATGATTGCAGCCTGGTACGAGAGGCGACAAATGAAGAAGATATACTCTCCCCTACTAGAGGCATTTTTAGGACTCTACCTTGGATTTGAATGGATCCAGGTTACTCCATGATTTCATCTTACATATTTATGATGAAAAGTTAGACTGTTTACAAAAATGTGATTAGTCATTAGAGTAGTAATGAAATCATAGTAACTTATGAAATCATAATATTCATATTTGTGTAAATAAGTTTTATTTTAGTAATATTTTTGTAAAAACCACTAATTGTTGCATTGTTCACATCTCTTACGAGTTTTCATTTATTTTTTGTGTTTTTGTACTTTTGCTTTTCTCTTATGCTTCAGTTGTCCTTGCTTGACAGACAAACAACATTCTTGTGCCGATTGTTACACATGGAATATACTCTGCTGTTGTGTTGGGACATGGATTATGGAAGATCAATGATCATAGGAGAAGGCTACACCATAGGATCCAACAACTGAAACATGGAGGAAAGAGTTCAAGGGATCATTGATCAAATACTTTCCGTTTAAAGTTTTTTTTTTTGTAATTACTAGCTTTATAACACAGATCCTTGTTCCAATTAGGGTTTAGTGTGTACTTTAATATATTTTCATGTAATTAGGCTAACATGAAAATATTATGTTCTAGTGTGTGTGTATATCATTGAGTCATTTTGTAGAATGTGTATCTTTGTACTAACTTAATAAATTCATCTCATTGTGGAGCGTGATTTTGTTGAGGATGTGATGGAAGTCTTTATGAAGAACAACCGCATTATAAACATTAAATTGGTGATAGGGGATAGATCATATAACGGTAAGTGCGTATGCACCAAAAGTGGGATTGGATGCATCCATCGCTCAACAACTCTAGGAAGATCTTGAGGAAATGGTGTGAGTGTGTGACTAGGGATGGACCTGGACCGGTTCGGACCCGGTTTCGGTCCTGGAACCGGCCGGTCCCGGTTTTTGAAGTGGAAGACTGGAACCAAACCGGTTCTCCCCGAACCCGGTTCTGGTCCGGTCTACCCAGTCGGTCCAGACCTGGTTCCGGTCTGGTCCTTTTTTTAAATTATTCGAAAATAAAAAAGCGATGTATATTTATTATAAATACTACATTGTCACTTGTATCAATATTACATTTGAAAATTACAATTGAGAATACTTTAAAGTAAAAAATTACAATACATGAACTAATCGTCGGAGCTGTCGCTTCCGGCGTCGGTTGTTGTTTCCTCCATGAAATGTCGGTCCAGTGCTATGTTGAGTTCTTGTGTTCTACAGGTGGCTTTCAACCAATCATGAAAGAAAATGAGTGTCTCGAGAGATGAAACGCCCAACCTCGTTCTATAGTCAGTCAAAACGTTACCGGCTTGACTAAACTGTTCCACGCAACACTTGAAACCGGCATGGACAACACTTGTTTAACCATTTTTTATCAAACCGAAAACATCCCTTCGTGGGTCTTCCACCATTGGAGAATATCAAAGTCCTCCGTTTCATTAAACTCAACATGAAACGTTAGATATAAAGATAGCTCGTTAATCGAGCTTTGTGCAACGACAGGAGTTGATTTACTTTTTTTCAAGAGAGTAGATATTGTTGATTTAAAAAATCCTTTTCCTTTAGATGAGGAAGCACTCGGTGTTGGGGGAAGGGAGTGTATTACCATATTGTGCATAAAACTCATTAAATAAAGCGTGAAATAGATTACCAACCTCGTTGAATTAGGCTTTAGGATCTATAGGTGTGTCTTCGTACATAGGGAATGGACCGTAGAAAGCAGTATAATAGTATTCTAAAAATGTTTCATAATTTGAAAGTTTGAAACGAGGATCAAGACAGAAAGCAAAAGAATAAATAGGCGGAATGTAGGCATAATATTTTAAAAACTTTCTTTCATGTAATTACAAAAATAATGTACATAAGGAGCGCTAGAAAAGTCTTGAAATGCACCGGCGAGATTAACAGCTTCTATAAAAAATTGGTTGATGGTTGGTTTATACTAGGGATGGACCGGTTCCGGTCTGCCTGGCCCGGAAACCGGCCCGGCCCGCCACTGAGGCGGTATTATTTAAAATGGACATCTTAATTGATTCAAAATTGTCCAACATAATATTATTGAACAAAAATCTATCAAGCTTCCTCCACACTTGACCATTTGCTCTTTTTCTAGTTCAGGTAAAATGGGGGCCAGTGTAAGAGAGCTCAGTCAATAACAATAGGTAAGGATTGATCCTTATGATCACTGCAACTAGCAATTTCATTAAAATCTCCACCCACCAACTATGGCTCAGTCATATTATTAGAAACATTAGTAAGACCTTCCCAAAGCTCCATAAACTGCAGTAAGCCAACCTTGAAAAATGTTACTTTGAACTTTGAAGTGAACAAACTGTGGATGCCAGGTCACCTGAGATAAACTCACATTAGAACTATCCCAGAAAATCCATATCTTACTAATAGGAGAAAAAATAACTTCATTCAAACTCAAAACAGTTTTTTAAGACTCAGCTTTAGAGATATGAACCAAAGGTTCAACAGCAATAACCAAATTCAACCTCCATTGATTAACTAGGGAATTGAGTCTAGAACTGGAGGATTCTAGACCCCTAGTATTCCAAATGAGCCAATTCATTGAGATGAGGGTTGATCACCTTGAAGTATATCCTTTGTTGCACGTCTTGTAACCCTTTTTGTGCAGTTTCCCATTGAATTTTTTTTAGAAGCCTTTTTGAACACCTTGGTAAAACCCTCCAATTCCTCCTCAGGATGTTCTTCAGATATCCCCTCTGATTGAGCTTGAGACATGATTTACATCATGTGGTTGGGCTTGCAATTCATCTCTATCTTAGGTAAATTGACTTATGTGTGGCTGTAGATCTGTTTCCCCAGTCTGTAAAACTTCCTGAATAAGAACTGATTGATGTATGTCTTGTAACATATTATCCTCCCCAAACTGTGAAACATGTGGTTCATTACGTGAGGCAATAATAGTCTTCTGTGCTTCCTCTTCCTCAGCTAGTCGTTTTGGTATAATATTTACCCTTTCACTAATTTCAGGCTAATTGTCCAGAAGATCGGAAGACCCTGAAGATCTTGGTTTTTCCACATCAGAATGATATTGCTTAAGGGCCAAATCTTGTTCAGATTCCAGAATTGAAGAATTCAATTCCCTACTTCCATGAAGCTTCCTCCATGCGCAAGAATGACAAAGGGAGCTTCCATACACCTAGGAGTCCTTCCAACCCCCATGTTTAATCTCACTTCCTCCCAACTTCCTAGTACCTAGTTTTGGTGCTATAAATGGAGAGTTTGGAGAGTCTTTCTATCATCTAGTAAATTAGATCATAGATCATTGAGAGATATGTGAGATGTTTTGAGAGTTTTTAGTTAGAGCATGTATGTCTCTTTCTTCTATTCTTGAAAGTAATAGAAGTATTTTTCTCTCATATTAGCACGATCCTGTTATTCCCAACAAGTGGTATCAGAGCCTGGTTGAGCTTTTGGTATTTTCCCCATAATTTTCAAATAAAGTTCTTCTGTCTGAAAATTCATGTTTTTCAATTTTGCTAGGAATTGCAATCTGAATATACCGTTGGATTTGTCTCATCTAGAGGAGAAAAGTGGTATTTTTGAGGATTTTTTTTGCCACGGAAAGACACCACCCGCGCCACCCGCGCCGGTGGTGAGAAGCTCGCCGACGTCATCGCTGATGTCATCCAGCACGCAGTCCAGAGATTGAAGATGACTGACGTCATCAGCCAGTCAGAGACATGTCAGCGATACGTCAGCGCCACGAGTGCAGTCCCAGCACAGTCATCCGCCACGTCATCAGTCCACTGCCATCTTCCACCAGTACGTGTCCAGTCAGTTTCCACGCCAATGCACAGTCAGCGCCACATCACTGCCACGTCATCTGCCACGTCACCGGTCAGTTTTTAAGTTTTGAAAAATTGCAGTTTGGTTCCTCAATTTTTGGAAAATTATAATTTCCACCTATAATTTTTCGAAAATTGTAATTGACCCCGAAAGTGTCTACCCACCATTTTCGGCCGTTCCGGACGCAATAGTGCTGCCCCTTTTTCAAAATTCTTCTCCGATTTTTCTCGAAAAGAAAATCAAAATTATTTAGAAGGTGAAAATGACCTTTGATGAGTCAACTTCATCTTCTGGAGCTATGATTATGCTCACGGCTACCAATTACACGCTATGGAAACCTCAGATGGAAGATTTCCTTAGCTGTAAAGCCTTTTTGATCCAATAGATATTAAAGGTATTAATCCTGACCCGCCCAAGTCAATGGAGTGGAAGAAAATTAATAGAAAAACTATTGGTCAAATCCGACAATGGATTGACCATAGTGTCTTCCACCATGTTGCACAAGAAACCGACGTTTATGCCCTTTGGAAGAAGTTAGAAGATACTGATGAGGCGCCTTGTCAATATGAAGCTCAAAAGTGGAACTTCTGATGCTGAACATACTAGTCAATTTCAGAGTGGTAAATCAACTATCTTGTGTAGAAATGCCATTTGGAGATGAAATGCAATCTCTACTACTTCTTAGTTCCCTTCCTGACAGTTGGGAAACACTAGTTGTTACTCTCCGCAACTCAACCCCAAATGGAAAACTTACCATGTATGTGGTCAAGGATGCATTGTTCAATGAGGAGGCAAGAAGGAAAGACATGAGCACAGATCAGACTCATGCCCTTGTGACGGAGAATCGAGGGAGACCACAAGGAAAGCAACAAAGAAACAATAGAGGAAAGTGGCAAAGTAGAGGTAAAAGTCAGGGAGATCATCACATGGCCAGAAACCTTCTTATACCTGCCATCATTGTGGTATAGAGGGTCACATGAAGAAGAATTGCTAGAGGAGCAAGGGAAGAGCAATTCACAAACGAGGAACAAGGGTGGTGAAGCACTCATCACAATCTCAGGTGATGTAGCGTACTGTACTACCAATGATGAAACATGTCTGCACGTCTCAAGAGAGGACACTGAATGGGTGGTAGATACTGCAACATCTTACCACATGTACTACTTCACAACTTACAAAGCTGGAGACTTTGGAGCGGTGAAGATGGGTAATTCCAGTTCATCTGGAATAACTGGAATTGGTGATGTACAAATAAAGACAAATAATGGGAGCACAATCACTTTGAAGGATGTCAGACATGTTCCAGACCTTCGCCTCAATCTCCTGTCAGTGGTATGTCTTAACGAACAGGGGTATGAAAATCACTTTAGCGGGGGCACATGGAAAATGTCAAAGGGCGTTTTGACAATCGCTCGAGGACATGTTTGTGGCACATTGTACAAAACCAATTTGAGGATTTGTACGGATAGCCTCAACATTACTGAGGAGGCTTCTCAGGATCTGTGGCACCTGAGACTCGGTCACATCGGTGAAAAAGGGTTGACTACATTGATGAAGAAGAACCTTATCAACATTGACAAGAATGCTGCATTGGGTCCTTCCAGTCACTGTCTATTTGGTAAGCAACATAGAGTATCATTTAATTCTACTTCAACTAAAAAATCGGAGTTGTTAAGTTTGGTACACTCTGATGTTTGTGGTCCTTTGGAGGTGGAATCACTCAATGGAAGCAGATATTTTCTGACTTTTATCGATGATGCTTCTCGGAAAATGTGGGTGTATTTACTGATAACAAAAGATCAGGTGTTTGATTGCTTCAAGATATTTCACGTCTTGGTGGAATGTGAAATAGGAAAGAAGCTGAAATGTCTCTGATCTCATAATGGAGGCGAGTATACTTCCAAGGTA